TTTTACAACTCAGTTTAGTATAATTGAAACTCAAAGAAAGCATTTTGCTTATCAAATTTGTTTATTTTAGTATAGTGTTGCTAAATTTTCCACAATCAGTACCAAAAACTAGTACCACTCAGAATGTAAACCCAATTAGAAGATTTGAATTATGGATCAGAAAATTTCCTATGTTTAGCTACTCTGCTAAAAGCAGAATAAACTCGATTTCACTAGAAAAACCATGGCAATAAGGGATTTCAGGATAACAGATTTCAGACCCTCAAGCAACAACTTTTATTAAACTAGAAGTTGGAGCTATACAATGAAAGAAGAAAAGATAATAGACTGATTCTGACAGCAAGTTCCTAGGAACATAAAGCTAACTACAAAACAAAGTTGCAGCTTTTCCCTTGCCCATTCTACAAACAGTAGCACAATACCATTAAAAAGAAAAAGAAGTTGCACACTCATTAAGATATTCACATGGATTCCCAATTGCAACCACATGAAACCTCTTTCTTTCATTCTGTGGATAGGTTTTGATACCAACATGTGGGGAAAGATCTACTCTCTGGCTGCAAGAACTGATGGGCCTTCCACCTGAAATTCCAAACCACCAAATAAGAAAAGAATAGTCAGTACTAATAGACTGATGATAGAGTATGTGGGCTCAAGTTAATGAATTCTTCAAAGATGATTGAAGGGTTGAAATGGACAGTTGATGGTGCCTAAATTACCACCATTAAATATGATAAAACTAGACAAGAACAACAATAGTCATGCCTGGTTCAACTTTGCTCCTTTTACACTAAATTAATTACCTAAATCTTGAAAGTGATGAGAAGTTGGTTATAAAATATTTCACCTTGGTGAAGAAGTCTTAAAATTTTTTAGCTTTCACCACTTTCAATCTTACTTTGCGTACACTGAACTGATTGAGTAAAAGGATTTCTGTAATTATTGTTAATTAAACCTAGATCCTGATTCGTTGCAATAATGGAATTAGAAAATCTTTTACAGCATTGCCAGCTAAGGTTTGGTGTATATACACCTTGAGTAGCAAGAGAATTTGACTTTTAGATAAGACTCGAGAAATAAGCATCTTTGTCTGATGGCAACACAAGAACATTGATGTTTTATCATTAAGATGGTATGCTTTTTCTATCAAATTGATTATCATCCGTGATTCTTTAGTTGGCAGTATTATTTTCAAGAATATGTTGATTGTCAGCGTCTGAATTTAAGCACCTAATAATTAACCTTGCACCAGCAAATCACAATTATAATTTGCTTCAGCCACATCAGTACTCTTTTTGGTTTTTCTTTAATTTCTCCTCTTTTCTTTTCTTTTCTTTTCTTTTCTTTTCTTTTCTTTTTTTTTTTTACAGTTTTCCTTTAAACAAAAAAATAAACCAATCATAGGAAACAGCCAATCAAAATAATTGGTAATGGTATGAAGTTATGCAAGTATGTATCATCAGGAAAACATCATGTTACCTTAAATGTAGCCCCCCAAATCTCTTCTTCTTCTGCAGGAACAGCAGTAATCTTGTTCTTAGGATTCTCAAAGCTCCTTAGTTCTCCAACCGTAGTGGAGAAGAAACAACCTAGTGAAATGAATATAGCACCATCGTCAAAAGAATGAAAGACAATCATATAATGGTATCTTTGCTGATTTTTCCATAATTATATATTATATATGGTTTGATGCCATAGATGAAATACGTAAGCCTTGAGGTAATCATACAAATGGTTAGCTCACCACAGTTTATGATTTGTTATATGCACATTGTTAATTTAGTGAACCCACCTTGAGGGAAAGAAGCAAGGGACTTGCCGCAGGCACCTTTAAGCAATTCAGCATCATCAGCAAAGGCCACATATCCATCAGCAGTGATTCCCCAGTAAAGAGGAACCTTACCAAATTGATCCTGTATGTCATAAACGTCCCAATTCTGTCAAATTCTAACCAAACACTACACTTCACCAAAACATTAAGTAGGTGAGTCAAGATTACTTACAGAAGCCACAAACAGGGTAGAGGTAGACTTGTCAAAGACAATAAAAGCAAAATTGCCACTTAGGTGGCCAACCACATGGTTGGGTGGATAGGGGGCACGGTCTCGGAGAGCCTTATAAGCTTCAATGACCAGAATCACCTCATTAGCTGACTTAGCCAGCCCATATTGCTGCCTCAGACTGCCCAAGTTGTCAAGTGCTCCCTCAAACAAGCAGAAAATCTCATCCTTGACAGCAAATGCCCTGCCATTTAATTACACAACAGAAATTAGAAACCTCATAATAACTTTGGATAGATAATTAATCAGTCGGCATCTGGCATGTTTATGTTAAAACATCAAACCTAATAAACTAATTAAAATCAAGTGATAATAATTTTAAAGCACCAAAATTATTTTTAAGTCCACAGGTTACCCAAACTTAATCAAAGTGATATATGCTAGTGAGTAAGAACATTTTAGCACAAACAAATACCAAATAAAACAAAAGATACATAATTCATAAATGTTTTTTCAATATAGACGGTACAATGGAGTTTGAATATTAAAATTACCAAAACACTCTTAACAAAACTTCCCCTCATGTTTGTCTAGCATTAGGTGATTTAGTGGTAACTCTTTTAAAAGAAAGTGCTAGAACGTGAAGTTTCAGATTCAATAAATCCCCTAAGTTCAAAAAAAAAAAAGAAAAAAAGAAATCTTTGCTTCATGTTCCTTCATTAACGATGACTTTTAGAAAAAGAGGATGAACGTGTCATAATCTTATCAGAAAAAAGCATAAATCTTTTTCTACCATTTATATCTCACAAAACTACCAGCTCATAGCCCCATACTTGAGGGACCCCAATTTTGGTCCCTACCCATGCCACTTGATCATTAATTCATTATCCTATCTGATTTTTATTCTCCACAGTTCCAGCAAAGAAGAAATTTCAAAGTTAGATTATGACATCCACCAAGCAAAATTAGTGTCCATTCTTTTATTAAAGCCGAGTGTAATTAAAAGTGGAACTCTCAAATTTTAAAGATAACAATCATAAAGTTGCTGCATCACTACCATTGGTCGTTGGTCCAATCATGATTTTCTCAAGACCTCTAATTAATAGTATGTTTAGTTTGAGTATAACGTAAGGGAAAGGGAATGAAAAAATACGATATACTTTCATTTTTCTTTTTTTCCCTCCCTCCCTTAATTTGAATAAGTGAAGAAATTAAAAAGAAAATAAAAAGGTAAAGGAATCCTCCTTCCCTCCACTCTAAACTTTTTCGCTAACCAAATAAAATAATTTTTTCCCTTCTCGTCCCTTTTTTTCCTCCCATTTCCTCAAACCAAAGTACTGTAAAGTTATTGAGTTTATAAATTTTAATTTAGTTAAATAGTTCTGTTTGGTTTAAGAGAAAAATATAAAAAAATTATTAAAACCCATGCTCAAAACAGAGTTTAAGAATTTAATTTAATTTATTAAAAAATGGTTTATCTAATCTTTATTCTAAGAGCACAAGTTAGTACTTTTTAATTAAGATATTTTTAGTTAATTTTATATAAATTTTGAAATATTATATTATAATTTTATATATTATATTATATTTTATTTGAATCTAACATAAAAATTTATATAAAATTAATTATAAATACTACAATCAATGATGTTTAAGCGGTACCCTTAAAAAATCTCATTAAAGAAATATCACCTACCTTCCTTTTATTTTTCTCAAATCAAAGAAGTTATAGATGCCAAACCACATGAAACCTTTGAGATTGATGGCCGCAGCCCAATCCAATTTTCAATCCGATGCAAACATTAGAACACGGTTTTCCCACATAGAAAAAGACAAAGGAATCACATAAAACAATCACCCGACCGTCCACGTGCTCCGTGGCTTCGAGTGCGGCAGAAAACCATCAGAACCGTGGGATTGATGACCCCACCAACCAAAAACAAAAAGAAAAGGACAAATTTCCATTTAATTATCAAAATAATTAAAAAAAAAGGGAAAAAAGGTTTTATTTTATATTTTTAAAAAGGATTTTTTTATTTTAATACACAAATTAAGAATATCATAAATATATTTTTTAATAATTAATTTATATAAAAATTAATAAAATTTAATTTAAATTTAATTAATTA